TGCCCAAATTGTTTTTAAGGGCCCGAGCACCAATTGTGCGATGACCCCATTGGATTTTTTTCTGTCATTAAATCCATATTTTAGGTACTGATGTCTGATGCTTCCAAGCTCTTAAAAGAATGCAAAAGCACCATAAAAGTAATGTGTGTTGTACTTCACAAATAACCCAACACATTATGACCAGCTGCCAAATATGTTATAGGTCCGCCGTGTCCCGCTAAACCGCACCGACCTGCCATGACACAGGCTCAACAAGACCCCCAAAGGTGTCCTGTGGTATCTGCCATTAGCAGCAGATCTTTCATGTCCATGGAGGAGCCGTAATGGATTAGATTTGTTTGTCCAGTACATCCCACACCTTAATCAGACTGAGATCTAAGGAATCGCAGGCGCTTTCGATGGTGTTCATCATAGTGACTTGGTCTGCGGCTACACAGCCCCATGTGCATCAGGGTGCAATGCACTGTGTCTTGTGGCCTCATTCCTCCCATAACGATTTTTGTCACAGAAGGCCTTCTGTCAGTTTGGTCCAGACTAGCCTTCAGGATAGGACAGCCTTGGGTGCCCAACACCAGGGGCGTAATTTGCGGGTGGGACGGGTGGGACATGTCCCCACCACTTTTTGCCAAGGTCGATATTGTCCCCACCACTTTTTAAAAGTTCTCGCGGCACGGATAAACAGTAGAAATAAATAAAACATCTCCATCTGGCAGACCAGTCATTTCGTTCGTTTGTAAAATAAAATAAAAGAAGAGATCTAGCCCTGAAATACGTTGATTTTTTTTTTTAAATCAAGTGATCAAAGTGCTCCTTGCCGCCTGCGATCGGTGGCACGGTTACAGTGTATCTCGTGGCTCACGCACAGTCTTCAAATGCATGCGCGCTTCAATCCGTTTCGGAGACTGTTTCGGAGACTTTTTGTTCGTTCCGGTGCAGAGAATGTGAGCGGAGTGGAGCGGGAGCGAGCGGGGAGCTCGAGCGGGCGGATCTTGGACAGAGCGGAGAGGGGCATTTTTTAAAGGCTGGAGCGTCACCCTATTTCCCGCTCCAATTTCGCTCCGCTCATACCACGAGTCTGACTCCACGTCTTTTCCCCGCCTAGCTCGCATGGTGTTCAGCATCCCAAGCGGGGTCTTCAAAGGCAGATAGGGTTTTCTCTGCAACAACCGCATGAGTCTGAAGCCTCAGACATTGTCCAAACTTGTGTTCTTGAAGGTGAATTTCTTTTCTTTCTTTCTTTCTTTCTTTCTTTCTTTCTTTCTTTCTTTCTTTCTTTCTTTCTTTCTTTCTTTCTTTCTTTCTTCTTTCTTTCTTTCTTCTTTCTTTCTTTCTTTCTTTTCTAAAAGTTTGACAATGGTAACCCATTTAATTGTATGCACTTTTGCGCAAAGTTTCAGTTATACGAATTTGGATAATAGTTCATTTTAGCATACTTTTAAAACGTTGATGTAGCCTACAGTAGGCCTATAGCCTGTACATTTTTATTTATAATAAAGCCCATTGATTCGTTTAATTTTTACAGCATTTTTGTGTGATAAGCATAATTTTATTAGGCTATTTTGTGCGCGCTGTGCAAACGTTTAGTTATCAAAATGTTGGCCTAATAGTTAATTTACTTTTTAAAATTTACTTTTTAAAATGTTTATGTAGGCCTTTATTTTTTACATTTTTTGTTTATACACTTATTTTTTATCTTTATTTTATTATTAGGCCCATTTATTCGTTTAATTGTACAGCAGTTTGTGTGTACAATGGATAGGTTATAAGCCAATTTAAATTTTAATCATGCATGCGCGTTCCGCAAAAAATCAGTTATCAAAATTCTGGCCTAATAGCCTAGTTAATTTACTTTTATGTATATTTTTGTTTATATAATTTTTATTCATATTATTTGGTCACTTTATTCGTTTAATTTTACAGGACTTTCTGTAGGCCTATAGCATAGGCTATTCCACTGAACATGTTGTAAAGTCGGATCTATGTTTTATTCACGTGTCACGTGATTCATTCATTTATACACATGTCCCACCCACTTTTTATAACAAAGTTACGCCACTGCCCAACACAGTCACTGGTTTGTCCCTCCTCAGACCACTGTTGGTACATTCTCACCACTGCTGACCAAGAACAACACACAAACCGTACCTTTTCAGAGATACTCTGACCCAGTCGCCTTACCATAAAAATGTGGCTCTTGTCAAAGACGCATGGGCGACAAAAGTTCCTACGATTTCGTTAACTGTTAATTTCTGTCCAACTGATCCGGTTAAGGAAGTGAATAAATGATCAGGGAATAACAACCTACATGAGTCTTTCTAACAAAAAGCTATCATGGTCTCAGAAGATGGACACATTTATGATACCTATATTGTGCTTTTGCATTGTTTTTGAAATTAGAATGCCTCAGTTCATTTAACTGCTTGAAAAAGAGCAAACTGCACAATTCTTCAAAATTTCTCTATTTGTGTACCACAATATACAATTATTTATGTTTGGGGTGACATTTAGGCCCTGTTTACACGAGAACGCTCGCGGGTGAAAACGTAAAAATATTTTATCGGATGTGCCTTTCGTTTACACGGCGACGGCGTTTTTGAGGCTTAAAAACGCAAAAAAGTGAAACCACCCCCCAGAGTGGAAATCTTAAGTGTAAACGGTAAAAGCGCAAAAGTCTGCTCGACAGTGAAGGTTGTACGCAGGCGCGTGGACTTGGTGTTGTTGTAGTATGCACTCCTAGCCGCCTGAAGTGCATACTACATTGAATTTAACACACTTTTGTGTCTCCATTTGCACGCGGATTTCCCAAACAAAACGTCTAAACGCAGAATAAAAAAAGATGACGCAACGCCACTTTTGCGTTTTCTCTTCAGAATCGTTTCCGTGTAAACATAGCCTTAGGTGAATACATTTATGTTCATCTTTAGAGGAACTATTCCTTTAACCAACCTATTGTCTTTTTTTCTCTGTTCTTGTAAGTTATCTCTGTACTCTCACAAGTTCCTCCGATCTAAAGAAATTAAATAGAGCCCTAATCAAACATCTCAGCTACCGATAACAATAATACATTACGAATAGAGAGAGAAAGGAGGATGAGAAGATAAATGAAAGAAAAATCAACGCAGGAACGAGCATGTGAGAGAGCAATAAAAAGCCTGAAGCAGTCGCGTTCTTGCACTTATGTGCCATGAATGACAGCTATTTGTACTAGATAATATCCGTAGGCAGGCTAAAACCCACAAGTACATAAAACAAACAGCAAAATGATATGCTTCTGTCCCTTTCAGCAGTAATATCTATCTGAATACCATACAAAGGCCACTGTTTCTCCAATCTAAAAATAAGATATATATTGAAATGGTAAAAAGCAGAGAATGAATTTGTTTTAACACTGGACTCACTACTTTAAAATGATCTTCCAACCATGGATTCATTTTAAAGTATTTATACACAGAATCCCGTCTCACCTCACTCACTCACAATAACACGCTAGCTTACACACATACACACAATGTGATAAGATAATGAAAGCAGCCTCTGAGCCATATGGCGTCTGCCATTATTCACTGCATCTTTCTTAACATGGTGAACAGGAGCACCAAAATAACTTGCATTCGACAATCACATGCTCATTTCGCTAATAGTTAATGGCGTCGTTCGTGAACAACAGACTGTCTGTTTAATAAAGCAACATTATGAAGTTAGCTATCTTGAGACGGGCACTGGGGAGAGGTCTGTCACGGTGTACGTGATAGATCCAGTGCCGCAGTCCAGCACACCTGTTTATGTGAGTGGGGGGCCAAGAGAGGGATGGGGTTTTTTTCCGGAGCTCGGAAGATTCGGTCTAGTGTTTGACATGGCGCATTCACCAGGACTTGAAAACTCTAACAGACAGTATCACTGCACCAATATTTAAAGCAAAGTTTACCAAAATAAATTTTGTCATAATTTATTCACCATCATTTTGTTTCAAAGCTCTTTTGTTTTTGGAACACAAAGAAGATATTTTGAAGATTTTACATATGATGCCTGATGAAGGTCGTGAGACTGAAACGTTGCTAATAAAACATTTGTATATTACTTGCAAGTACTGATAGTGTGCAGGAGTTCCTTATTTGAAGATTTTACAATGAAAGTCAATGGGATCCAAACCAACAAACAAAATATCAACGTGCTTTGCAGAAAGTTTTGGAATGACATGAGGGTGAGTAAATGAGAGAATTTTTTTTTGTTGAAAATATTCCTTTCTCTAACATTTAGTTTGCTTTGGTCTATAGATTGGATATGTTCACTGTTTATGAGAAATCTGTACAGTTTTTTATTCATTACATTTATGCATCATTCAAAAAAAAATGTTTTTTAATGCATAGCTTCTCCATCATTTGCTGTCCCTTTATCCTCATAAGTCCTTTTATCCAGGCAAAGCGGTGATATACTGACATCAACTCAACAATGAGGGTGATATATTTACATCAGAAGACCCATCCCCCCACACCAAACCTCGTCTTTCTTCTCAATATGCTCTTTTCCAGTGGCTATCATGGTCTTTAATAAATGGCTTTAATTTAAAACAGAGACCTTGAAGTATGTGTGTGTGTGTGTGTGTCTACAGCTCACTTTCTTTACATGCTTTATCTCTCTTTAAGGTGCTTTGAGGAATCCATGCACTCTCACCATCGATTAAATACTCTTGCTGCTATATGTTTGCAAAATTATATTATATGACAACTATTTACAACACCATATTGATGAATCTAAAAAAAATACAGGACTCATCCAATTAATTCCACAAAACACTTTTAACAGACTCTGAAAAACATTATATATGAATGAAATTAACAGTAGAAAATGCACAATAGATTGCTTTGATGGCAAGTAATGATACCGGACTTATAACTTGGAATAATGTACTATGGTTGTATCAACATGTTTTGTAGCACATCAGTTTTATCCTTAAAGGGATAATTCACTTTGAAATGAATTTTTGATATGTTTTAGCTTACCTCAAGGGCAGGGCAAGGGTGTCTTTGTTACCACAGTATTTTCAGTTTTGATATTTTTAGGTCAAACCGTTGTTGTCTGGCAGTCATATAATGGAAGTCTATGGTGATCTCCTAAAAGAGCATGAAAAGAGAAGTCCAAATTAAACATGATTTAATGACTCGTAAATGTAAGTACACATTGATGGCCTAAGACACGAAACAAGCAGTTTTTGTGAGAAAATGAACAGTATTTATATCGTTTTTATCTCTTGTAACCACAGCCACGTCCAAGTGATATGAAGGCACGGGCGCTTCGGTCTGCGTATGCGCCGAAAGTGATCTCTTGCGCGTGTACGTCACTCATTGTTTACACAGAGATTTCGGAAGTTTTACCGCTTCCACTGTGAAGATATAAATATCGAAATTGTCTTCCATTGCGATTTGTCTTTAAAGTTATAACCACAAACATAAAATAACATTGAAAGATTGTTTCTACTTTGAAACCCTTTTTTTTCATGCCCCTAAAACACCATATGAAATGAATGAATAAAATGAATGAAAAAATGAATAAAAGTCAGGGAATTTAGAACTTAAACATTTCTAATTAAATTATTCTGAGCAATCCTATCCACATTAATTCAATGTAACTGTATGCCAACAACTGCCTCATTTATTTAAAGCTCCAGTCTGTAACTTTTTTGGGTTAAAAATGATCCAAAATAAATTTGAGCAAGTACATAACCAGCCAGTGTTCAAAACAATCTGCTTGGTACCAATGGTACGGGTGGATATCCACAGAAGATTCAAGCATGTCTTTGCGTCATTACGTCACATCTGTTCACATAAAGGAGTCTCGACTAGTAGGCTATATTGCGTGTGAGGATGCTGGAGGTGGAGATTTATAGCCTTTTCTCACAGCACTTGATATAATTAAACTTATCAATTTGATGGCAGATCCAGAAAGGTTCAAAACGACAATCAAACGGTCATACTTCCAAAAAGAATAATCCGTGACTCTGAATGCCAATATCCACACCGGCGCGGTGACCGACAGCCTCACAGTGTTCATCTGCGTTGTTCCATGCCGAGGTACAACTCACGTAAAGTTGATAATTCCGTGAGTGACTACAATTATTTCGAACAGAGATGGCGACAAAGAGGAACTGCGGACTGCAGCTTTAAGGAATATTAAGGAGAAACAACTGAGACTTAGATGAAACTGGTTTCCTAAGCTATGACAGAGAAACCTTTTGTATAAGCAATACAAATCATTCTGGGGCATAAATGCATTTGCAAATAAAACACTGCAATATTGCCATTCAATATTAATGTCATATAATAGACATCCTAAATTAAACTAGACGCTGTTGTGCATACTACAGCAGACTCTTTGTCAAACACTGACATGTATCAAATCCACTTTACAAATGCGTGTATAAGCGAATGCAATGCATGGCCTTGAGAGGTGGCAGTGTTTTATCTATGTTGGGGTGACAGGGAGTTTTAATTGACAAGGCTGAAGTGTTTCAGCCCCACTGGAGCACAAACAATAACCACAATAAAGACAGAGTGAGCCATAAAGAAAGGCCTTGTTTTCTTTGATCATTCTATTCCCTGGGTGTGTAGGCAACACTGTGCAATAATGCAATAACTTAGATCTCACAAACGCACAGACACACACACCTGTGCCTGTAGCATTGAATGACACATGGAAAAAATATTCATGTCTCCTTTAATAAAAGAAAAAAAAATAGACAGATACACTGAGGATTTTGAAACAACTGTGGATATATGTGGATATTTTACCTCATCGTCTATTAACACAGGAATGCAGAGCTGAAATTTCACTCTGAAATACGGACGTGTATTAAGGGCACGGTGGACAAGGTCAAAGCTCTTTTCACGTTGTGTGTGTGTGTGAGTGGGTTGTGTGTGGGTGGGTGGGTGCTATTCTACTGGTCTGGGTGTGAAAAGGCCTGACCATACAAAACTGTGGGCACTCCAAGGACATATAAAGAAAAGCTTTTATATAAACTTTCCATTGACATTTCAGTTTGATTTCAGGTTCTCTGATGCACAAAACGAGAGGAAAGTTTGACGTGGCAAAAAACTGAACAAACGACAAGTAGTGTTATAGTGTACACATCTGTCGCTGTAGATTTTTTAAATCATTGTGAGCTAAAAGGTTTCTTAAAACTCTGAGAAGCCATGCAGGTAATACACCTGCGCATATAGACATTAAAGTGATAGTTCACCCAAAAATGAAATTTTTGTCATCACTTGACAATTGTACCAAACCTGTATGAGTTTCTTCTTCTGGTGAACACAAAAGAAGATATTTTAATTTAATTTAATAGCCACTGACTTCCATAATAGGAATAAATACTATAGAAGTCAATGGTTACGGTCAACTGGCTGGTTACCAACATTCTTTAAAATAACTTAAAGAAACTCATACAGGTTAGGAATAAAAATAACAAAGAAACTCATACAGTTTAGGAACAACTTTAGGGTGAGTATAAGTGAAGACAAAATTTTCATTTTTGGGTGAACTATCCTTGTAATAGCGGACAAGTGCAATGTTTCTGAACTTTCAGAAGAAGAAACTGTAAATTTATATTGCGGCGGCGGCCTATACTGTAATCCCAGTTGCAAATCTCACTCTACATCTGACATCATTGATTAACATAACTTCAAATTGAACTGAAAAATGAGGTATGGATCCAATCGCTACAAACAGTGATGCCATCTATCAGGATGGGCAACAAAGTGAGGGGTTTCATCATATCTGCAACCTTGTCCATGATTTCGAGTTCTTGCTCATAGATAATATATAAAAGAGTACCACTATGAGAGAGAACAAAATCAAAGGTATAAATACCAGATGTTCTTAAAGGGGAATGTCAGTTTTGAGTAAATGATGATTTATTTAAGATTATTCTAGTGTGATTTTCAGAGAAAAGTTTTTTTGCACACAAATATTTTTATATATACAGTATATATATATATATATATATATATATATATTTTTTTTTAATAATCTAAATTGTTTTTGTTTTGTTTTTTTTTATTTAGAAATGAGCAGGGGCCTCATTTATAACCGTTGCGTACGCACAAAATCGGCCCTGAAAGAGGCGTACGCCATTTCCGATGCATAAGTTATAATTTATAAAAACAAATTTGATGGAAAAAATTGCGCACATGCAAGCAAATTCATGTGTACGAACATTTTGGAGAAGGAGCAGTTTGGTGACACCGATGGAGAGCCTGAGTTAAATGTGTTTTTGGTCACTATTAGACAGAGAATCTAAAGAAAATTATACTTCTACAGAAAGATAATACAAAGATAATTTCACAAACCTATCATTACTTGAATCAAACATCCATCCCTTCTTAAATGTCTGCACCATGAGCGCGTTGGGCCGTTTAGTGAAACTGACGCATAGCCTATCTAGCGGCAGATGAAGTAAAACCGCGTAAATCTTCATTATGAGTCCTATCATAAATACAGTGCATGTACTCAATAACTATTTAATAACAGTTAAATAAATAAAAGGATTTAAACTATGTTTTACTTCTGATATAAACATTTAGATTAAATATGTAATTCTCATTAATGGAGTTGAACACTTAACTACATGAAATCATTACTGAGAAGTTACAAAAAAAATGTATATTCAATAAATAGAAATAGACCTATTTGTTGTGCATGCAATGCTTTTGAACACTTTTCCTCTGGCATGCTGTGTTTTAATGTTTTAACTGATAGCTAATAGCAGATTGTCTGAGAAAATTGTTTCGTGCAAATAATGCACGAATAAATATCTGTTTCCATTAAAAATATATATCAATTAAAAATACTATTTGCCCAATTGGAAAAGACTGAGAAAAACTTTCTCTGAAATGTATTTAACACTATTTGATTTATTTATTCAAAAAAAAAAAAAAAAAGACAAGGATAGGCTACTAAAAAAAATTATGTTTGTATTTCATATTTTACTAACGGCTTGTACCGTTAGTAAAATATGAAACATGGTATGACGTGGATGAATAATCATATGCAAATGATATGCAGATAAGGATATGCATAGTAAAACTAGGTGTTGTACTCTCCATATATGGTTATTTCGGGGAGGAGACGCATGTGCGCGCATTCTTCCGCTGACTGGGATTTATAAAATGAATTTTGCGCAGGTTCTGGCGTACACACGATTTTATAAGTCTGAATATTTTTTCGGGCGCACATACTACGATCCTACGCACAGTTTTATAAATGAGGCCCCAGGGCAGTATTCCTGCTCAACTTATTGTGTAGTCCTCATTGATTGTGCTGTTTTCGACTAGGAACGATTTGGTGTACAAGGCTCGATGAAACCTACCCATTTTTTTACCCACAACATTTGTTACATAAAATGAAAAGTAGATATGAACACAAATAATGAACGATATCAAATTCTAACCTGGGTCTAAATCTCCCACAAACACATACAAAAATACAAAAGAGGCACCTCTTATTTCACGTCATATTCAATACACACATTTCACACTTAAATAACAACTTTCTCTCTCTCTTTTTTTTTTTTTTACTTTTTGTCCCTTAAAAAAGCTTCCCACTCTTTTCAAACACACCTCTTTCTTTAAATGTTTTCCAGCATTTCATCTATTGAGTCCACCCGAACGCAACAAAACCCACACATCCTTACACCTGCTAAAATCTTCTAAGGGGCCAGGCTGCTTCTCTTCTTCTGATTCGACCCCATTACTTCACACTTTTCTTCAGGTTTAGATGCCAAACTAACGCTTACTGCGCAATAACAACAGCGTTTCCTGTATCTGACAACAGAGGAGCTGCAATCACGCAGAAAGAGCCAAGGGATCAACGAACAGATCCGCATCATTAATATTTTAATAATATGACAGTGGAAAGTGATGTGAAGGCATCACTTTTAATGAGAACAGACAAAAGCATGTGTACAGAACAAAGAGCAGCGAATGACAGAGACAGAGGTTTTAGCTTGAGGTACGTGTGCTGATACCTGTGTGTATGGGTGGATGATACAAGAATAAAAAGAAATGACAGAGCTCAAAGCTGATATAGCAGGGTAATTTGTAAGATCACAGACCCTT